TTTTAGCAAAATGTTCATTTGATGAAGGATGAAACTCATCAGAACTATTAAATATGAGATTATCATGTCAGTATTGATAACACCGCACTTAATGCATCATCATTATCAGATAAACTACACGTCACTTAAAATATTACACCATGCAATGATGGCATCTGAAAAATTCTCATCATGAAATCATTCTCCGCTTTTCCTCTTGTTTCCCAAATGTTTCTGAATCCGTAAACTACTAATAGACATTATTTAAATTAACTGAGCGACGATTGCAATTAGAAAAAGTTAGCCTTCAGGAATGAAAATTCCAGTAAGTGATGGATTTACACGACTACGATCATATTTCAATAATATTGCAAAGAATACATGAACGATTTGAAGTGATAATATAAGAATTGAAAAGAAAGAGAGGAGAAATTTGTCAAAATATCTCTTAAATTTATGTTTAGAAGAAAAAAGTCTCTTTCCCGGATAGATGAAGCGATAAGAATGGATATAGTTATTATTTCCGGAAGAAGAGATCGATGTATTCAGGTGAGCAATAAATTGTAAATTTATTCATATTAATTCAATGCTTATCGCCTAAGTTAATCATTTTACTTTCATTAAATTATCAAATCAATTACCTTTATTATATTAATCACATTATTACGTAACGTCGTTGTTGTTCCATACGTTTTAATTTCCCTTTTAATTACACCATCTCTTTTCATCTCTAACACTTTCAATAACAATTTTCTTTGGATTTTAGCGATATTTTATGAATATCAAAACTTCTCTGCTCGTTTACTTTCTATTCTTGCTAGAAATACATGACGGCATTTATTAAACATGCGTGACAGCATATTTATTAAACGTTCTCAACGGCATTTGATAGATATACGCGATGTGCATGGCGGCGTATATTGGACATACGTGATGGTCTTTTTATTAGACGTGCGTGATGACAACTTTCCGCCTTGAACTGTTTCTTTACTGTAATCTTTTACAAGTATTTTGCTCAAGTGCAGAGGTTTCGTTTTAAGGAAACAATAAAAGATCCATGAAGGCATCGATTCTTCGCAGAATATTACGGACATTTACATACCTGGTTGTAGTCGAACCAAATTGTCATGTTTTTAAAATCAATTGGTCCCCTTCAACCAGCTATGTTCCTCCTCCTGTAAACATCGATTAAGTGGTACAAAAGAAAAAATTCAAGAAATACCAGTATTTTCATTTAAAAAAACCAAACAATCTGGGTTGCTAAAAAGTAGTTACATTAAATATTAAAATCTGCTTACATGTTGGCACCTGAAAGATGTAATTATATATATACATATATATATATATTGACTGACGTGACCGCAACCGAGTCTACGTACCTTTTAAATATTTTTTGATAAGATTATCAACAATTGAATTCGTCATTGCATTTTTTAATTCTCCAAGTGTTGAAGGGGTAAAAGTTGTGTAAGAATTGGTAAATGAAGAGGAACTTTTATAGAAAAATAAGTGTTCTGAAAACAAATGAAATCTTTACTTTTTCTTTTTTTTTAAAAAATCTATTCCCTTCTAAAATTTTAATTTTAATTATTGATTTTCAAAGCTAGAGCAAATAAAATTAAGATTTTATGGAAATCAATTGTTAATCTTGAATAATTTTTTCAGAGCCTCTTAATTTGTCATATTTTTATTTCAAATGCTTTTTGTATTAAAATAAATAAAACCTTACTAAGAGTACGAGAACATATATTCAAATTTAATATCTTTCATTTTTTTCTTTCACTTTTCTTTCAATATGAGACGGGAAAAAATTATTTGTTATATTATATATCACGAAAATTTTGTGAATTATGTTGAAAGAAATCATCATTAAATTTCTTTAAAAGTTTTTTCCATTTTAAAGTTGCAGAAAACCATCTTCCAAAAACATTTTTATATCTGTTCAAGTAATAATAAGAGCGAAACGAAATTGTTGAATTAAAAACAAAACAAATTATTGCAGATGAGTCATACCTTGGCTAAGATACTTTTTCGAATTGGGCCTACCATTTTTGGCTTTTTTTGCTGACAAATACTTTCTCAGTGTCTCAGTGTATGATCATTAAAGACATTCCTTACCAAAACTTTTAACTTTGAGCAGAAATTTTTTTAGAGAAGCAATGAAACTTCCCTGACAAATTCTATTTTTCGTTCATATTCGATCTACTCTCATTATTATTTGTTGGTCTTTTTTTTTTGTAGTTATTATCTACTATAGTCCTGCGACAATAACATTTCAAAATTTCAATTTTTGTCTTTTTTTATTAAAACTTAAGCTGGATACTTCCAATTTATCGAATAAAAATTGTCGAGACATAACGATAAATATATGCAAAATTTGTTTGCTTGATATTTCTTTTTGATAGCAAAATCTAACATGAACAAATACACTAAAAGAAAGAGGAAACTGATACCATAAATTGCCAACAGGTGTACTTACGTAATATCATAGACTTATTTTTTGCTAGAAACATCTTTCGAATTACCATGCAATCTTTTATTTCAAAAAAAGTTTCATTTTACATTTGTTAAAAGAAAAACTTTTCGCATTTTTCGAAATTTTGTTTAGAACAAAAAAAAAGAGTGATCAATCAGTTGCATTCTATTGCGAGAAGACCATTTTATTTTTATTTTTATTTTTTATTTTTTTGGATGGATGAATAAACTGAAGTGGGCTAGATTGAAAGAAGAAAAAAAGAGGGGAAGAAGTAAGCATTGGATTCGAAGACTCCTTCGAAATCCTTTTGGAACACATACTTTAATTTATTTACTCTTCTCTTTATTACTTCTCATTTTTCGTAACAGACTTTTCAAATTATTTTCTTTACATTCAGTCACTATTTTTCGCTTTCCATCCTTCTCTTTTCATTGCACTTCAATTTGGAAGATAAAATAAAAACAAGTCTGAATGACAGAAAAAATGAAATCATGAAAGAGCTTAGGAGGGAAATTAAATGCAAGTTAAATTCGATAAAGGCCCTGTCGTCTAAATTTGCACATCAATTTGCTATTGTTGTTGTTCATCAATGATGTTAGATGATCAGAAAAGTCTATCATTTTCAGGTTCAAATAAAATACTGCTTTAAGATCCAACTGATTCAAAAAAAAAAAAAATATTACAAACGCTTTAGTAAATTTCAATTTTATGGCATAGATTGTTTAATATTTTTTTCCCATTTGTACTATTAATGTTGCATTATTTTTTTTTCAAAAAGCAATTTGCGAGGATGGATTCGAAAATTTTGTTAAAATTTATTTCCAGTCAACCAAATTCAAAATTGCAATGATCATTTGAAAAGGAATTAAGATCGAAATGGATGGTGAAAATGTTTCTTCCATTAAAATTCTTTAAATTGCAAAAAATTTTATATGTGCAATATACATACTTATGTTATTCATTATTGTAAACCAATAATTATTCAAAAAAATAACAAGTTTTCTAAGACCTAAGCTAATTTTTTTAAATCAGCCAGGTAAGTTGTCCCAGAGAAAAATTTTAAATCAAAAGGAAAATACTATTACATTTTTTGCCACTATAGTAATATATAATGTTTTCATTGATTCATCATTCTATTGAGCAAAAATTACTGATATTATAATTTTAACTTGTTCTAATTGTAGCAAAATGAAAAAGTAACTTGTTAGGCTAAGGTGATTTTCTCGAAGTAATCATTAATTTGATGGTCAAATAAAAATATTAGATTAGTTTTGATTTCATATTAGCAATTCAAAAAAGTTTAAATTATAAAGTGGACGATAAAAAAAGACTGATTCATAATGAAACGGAATTTTAAGAAATTGAATGACAAATGTCATAGTAACATTCTCATTCATTAAAAAAAATGCTGAGAAGAGAAAAAGGAAGTAATTCGATTTAATTATCATTCATTTTCAATTCTATTAATTCTTTCAGATTTCATACAACTAATTCTTTTGTTAAATTACACTTCGTTTCAACCAATGACAAACTTTGATTTAAACTTAATCTTTAGGACACGTGCAAAAGCAAACAATTATATATCCATGATTAATTTATCCAAAACATTTATGAAATCGAAAAATTTCAGTAATTTCAAGGGAAAATAACTTTCTCTTTTCCTCCCTGTCCTTCTATGCTGCATTATCCAACAAATCTGTAATATAATCCTATCCGATCCTAATTTTTTTCACCCAAATCTTTTCTCAATCAGTTTCAAGCTAATTATAACGACGAGACACTCATCGCATATTGCTGATCTCTTGCTGTATATAATAATTTGTAACTTTTTAATGACCAATAAATGTGATGATCTATAACATCTGTTTCATATATTTCACAAAAAAATTCATCAGTTCTATCGGTTGCAAAAATGTATAATTTCCAAATGGAATGATAATATCATCAAATATATCAGACAAAGAGAATATACAAAAAAAAACAAAACAAACAAATCCTTTTACAGTAATTACAGCTGCATAAAGTGAGAATTTTAAGGCAGTAAGGATGTGTATGAAGCGATTGATATGATTGGTATGAAAATGCATCTTTTAGTTAAATAATTTAAAATAAAACACTTTATCCGAAAAATGAATTTTTGATAATTTTTTTCCTATACTTCCTTATGAAATAACTTATGAAATAATTAATTGTCAATTTGATATTTAACAAGAGAAGAATTTAAAATAAAAAAATAGCAGCATTGAATTGACGAAAAAGATTACATGAATATAATATCGAAATACAAATAAATAAAATGAAATGACTAGGATAAAATTATTCGTTGAGGTAATTCAGAAAGAAATAATAATTTATTTTTTGTAATATCACAGTAAAGTTACAGGGTTTCATTTCTTTTGCTTCAATCATAATTCGAAAGCTTTTTTGATGTAATGCTAACTGTTAAACTATCACAGAACTGTATGATATCTAAAACATTTTCCCCACAAACTAAATAATCTCGCGATGATTCGATTCATTCCTAAAAAAAATGAAAAATCAGAAATTAACACCGACAATTACATCGCTGCTTGGTGAGCACATAAACATCATTGTCAAAATATAATCTTCCACCATAATTTCCAACTGTATGCGGCTCGTCAGAACCATATTTCACAAATTCCATCTTTCTTTTCTGCCAGTCCGCATCACCAAGAAATTCATATTGACCATCTTCTGAGAATACCGCTGGTGTATGCATATTTGCACCAGAAAATAATATGGTACCATGGTCAACATCTTTTACCCGCATCCAAGTAAACCTGAAATAAGTTCACATTTACGAGAATTCAAGATTAATAGTTTCAAAAATCAAACAAATCTTCTTTTTTTTCCTTCTTTTTTCTTCTTTTTTTGGAAGAAAAAAGATTTGTTTGATTTTTGAAACTACTAATCCTACTTTTTTTCTACGATAAATTTGCAGCATTTAAAATATTTGAACAGTTATGAAAATTAAGCACAAAATGGCATTTACTTGAATCCATTAGTGTCTGGTGAACCATTGTAAATTAATACTCGAAAACCTCGTTTTAACACTTTGACCTTATTACCAAAAATAAATAAAGCTTGCATTCCACCATCTTCTTCCCAGGCTCGTCCCCAAATGGCAGGGATACCAACTCCTGGAATCCTGAAAATGAAATTTCTCAAATCTTGTAAATTCAAAATGCTAAATGAATGGTTAAAAATTCATTTTTGGTTGCATGAAAAGAACAATTAAGCAATCAAAGATGAATAACATCTTTGATTGCTTAATTGCAAATTGCATTTTGTAAATTTTAAAAAATCGACATTCTCAGAGGAATTAAAGAAGCAATAACCAACTATGAAAAGAGTAAAAAATATCAAAATTAATGGGATTATAATGAGATGATGGTGATTATAGCTAGAGATTTGTAATGGCTGATTTATTTTTAAATTAAAAAAAAAAAATACCATAAGGCAACAGCTACGTCAATCATCGTTGTACCATCTCGAAGTGACCTTTCAAAAGGTCGAACTGCTTCTTTTGGCATTGGTACTGAACCATTAATAAATAAAAATGATTGTGGTAGAACTGAATGACTCTGCTAAAATGATAACACAACTATTTATCTTATTCTTAGGAAATTGAAAACTGTTGTCCTTATTTCTTTTTACCATAATATAGGCTATTCATTGATGGTACATCAATAATTAATCTGCTAAAGATTCCCAAATTTGATTAAACCATTTTCGGATTCGTCATCCGAAAAGCTTGAGTTATGAAGAAACTTCAGACTGTAACATCCTGAACAGACGACTTTTCAGCTTTGCTATATCAGAGCCAATTTAAGTTAAAATTCTGCCTGGAAAAGAACTGAAATAAAGATTGCTACTTCCACAAATTATCATTAATCCTTAACTTAGTATAATCATCTACAAATTTCTTGAAGCAATGAAATTTTTTTATGAGGAGGAGGCTAATTTGGCAAACAAGATAAATAATGTCTTTTTAAACGAAATTGAAGTTTATTTTAGATAAATACAGAGATTATTTCAGATTATAAACAATGTCTTTTATTTAGATAAATAAGAGAGAAAAAACACTATTTCAATTCGACGAATTATTTTTGGTTAATCTTTTAATTAGTCACGCTTACATACTGCAATTCCTCAATATTTAATATTAGTAAGGAAAGTAACAGATGACTTATTTTTGATCTATAAATGAATTTTAAAAAGAATTCCAAAAGTTCAGAGGTAACAATAATCTTTTCAATCAATTCTTCATAGCATATCAGTTATCGTTTTCAATTCCTTCTTATCATAATAAACTAACATAAACAGCAGCTCGTTCGGTACGAACAAAATTGAGTAACTGTTGGTTGCCGCTGCAAATTATGAATAAAGTCAAAAAAATGAGTTGTCCGAAGTGTATAATCATTTCCAGCCAATAGTATGCATTGTTCAAAAAATAATCTCCGATTGTTTCTTTCAAATTCTTCCTTGCAATTTCAATATTTCAATCAATTTCCTCAAAACAAAAATTTATGATACGAAAAATTAATGGAAATAATTGTAAAAAGTCACGTGTAGTACTTTTTTATTTACAGCTTCATTTACAGTATCTGGCAGACGGGAGAATAAACGTTCATTTCTGGAATATGTAGTGTTAATTTTAGCATAAATCTTTTTAATATAATTCGAATAAATTTGATGCCCCTCAAATTTATATGAAAGACGCGTATTCCTTCCAGCAAATGGAATTAATGATTTTAATTTTGAATATTAAATGATTATCGAAAAATATTTAATTTTGAATATAAAATGATTGTCGGAAACACCGAAATAATCTTGCATATGAAATTACTAACTGATAATTAATACATATTTGTATTATTGAAATCAATGTTAATGAAATTGTTTAATCACTTGTTTCTCAAAATACTATATGCTCTAATTATTTCTTTAATGTACGATTATTACTATTGGATGATTTTGGTTTACAGGTACGATATGATCTATTTTTTAATCATCATCAATGATTGTTGTCACATATCCCTTATCTATCATTAACTTTCTCCATTAGATGTTTTATTGTTCACTCAGTCCCAAACAGTATTCAACCCCGTTCAACTCGGAAGAATAAAATCGAGAGAGAGAAACTGAAAGTTCAGTTTTTTGGAGAGGAATAGTCTCACTCATCTGAGCAACGATCACCAACTTCATCCTCCAACTCATTCTACTCATTATCAGTTCTTGTCAAGATGCATAAACAATTATTTCAATTGTCAACAAAAAGAAGGAAATCTTCATCTCTATATCATCCACTAAACTCCTACAAAAAAAAACCCTTACAACAATCACTGTCCAACAATACAATTGTCAAAACTCTTTTTTTCAGCAATAGCTGATTACTGTAGTTTACTAACAAAAGTAAAGCATTTAATTATGCTCGAGAAGATATTTTTAAAATATTTACATGAACACTATATAAAATTAATTATATTGTTATTTAAAGTACCAATTCCTGTTATAGTGCGATATGAGCTGTAATAATCGCTTTTTTAATAATAGGACTGAAATTAAGAATTACTTATTTGTTTTCCAAAAAAAGAAACAATAGAAAGAAAAGTTCTTTCAAAATAAAACAAACAATTGGTGCTTTAATCATATGTGATGAGTTCATATCTATCCATTTGAACTTGATCTTCTCATGAAAAATTCTTTCTAATTTTTTTTTGAAAAATTAATTCCTTCTGATACTTCACATTGGGAATCATTGAGTAAATGGGTTTATATTTCAAATGGTTAAAATTAGCTGTTTCTGAAAACTAAATTAAAACATAAAGCTATTTTTATGTAAAGAAAAACAGAATTTTTCTTCCCTGCTTAAAATTTTTCAATTTACTACTGAATGTGTTGCATACGACCAGCTGTAAACAATTAAAAATGATAGTTTTCAATTTATCTAAAAACTTCTCAAAATCCTAATAAAAAATATGAAATGAGCTAAAGATATTGTCAAAGTATCCTTTCAATTTCAATGCCAATTGAGATATTTGACGAGTATGGGAAAACGTTAAATATGCAATGAATGATATGAAAGAAATTTGTGAGAATGAAGAAAAAAATGTAAAGAAACATCAACGATGAGAGAGATATTTTAAGAATTTCCATCAATTCAATTATTTTTCTTAATTGAAATATGATTTTACGTTGTTTAAGTTATACTTAATAATGCATGCACAGATGATAATTGCATGCTTCATGGAAATAAACCGTCTTCGGATTTATTATAATTTATTAATCTTATGTGGAAAATTTTCGTATAATATCATATCGGTTATTTTGACAGTTTAAAATTCCGAAATGAATGCATTTACGATTCCAGAAGGATATAATGGCTAGTACTGACGGCTAACGTGTGCGTGTTGAACAAACACGGAAGTCATCAGCTGAATTGAGGAAGAAATAAACTTCACCACTTGTTAAAATATTTGACGCATTCCTAAATGAAATGAATAGAACGCAATTGTGATTAATTATTGAAGTGAAAAGTTAGCAGGAAACAGGAAGCAATTGTAGATGGTGGCGAAAATGTCATAAATGTGAATCAGAACAAGCGAAAAAAGTGTAGTTATGAGATTTCATTCAAATTTAAAATATATAAATTTAATATTTAGGAATAGTGCAGATAATATTTTTTTTTTTTGTTCCGTGAGAAAAGGTAGTTAAACATTCGTTAGACAAGCATTATTTGGCCATTAGACAAAGCATAATGAGCCAATTTGGTAATGATGGTTATCGAGTGATCATCATCCTGATCCTTGGATCATTGCTCATACAAGCTTTGACCTTGCTTAATGAAGTTGATGTTACTCGATTATTCATAATTATAATAATCTGTTTCTGCATTGGGATGAAAAATTTGAGTGAGATTTCTCGCGCATATAACTGCCCATTATCAATTCATTTTAAGATATGTTCATTACAGCAATAGTAAATGCACAAATTCCGGATAACAGTGTTTTTGAACTGGATTTGATGAATTATGAAAATGAATATAACAGATGGCAAAGACTTTTTTAGTGGTTTTTAAGGCTAGCTAAGATAATAAGTGGGAAGAGGACAAAAAAAAAAAGGTATATTTTAATATTCATCAATTTTTAAAAATAAACGGCTATTTTAAATTGAAGCAAAATGTAACTACTAATTCCTGTTAATGTAGATGAGAGAGCAAAAGAGAAGAGAACTGCCGTTTTATAACTCGTTTCCAATAAAACCGTAACAAAATTGATGCATTCAGAGATGACAGCAACCCATAGAAAATCAATCGTTGAAATATTATCAAAAAATACATACAGCACCTTTTATTTTGACTCAATATTCGATGGAATTATGTCAACTTTCATACTGAAAAGAATAGCTTTATTCTTCTGGCTAATCTTACAATACCTCTTCAAACTGATCAGAGAAAATAACAGTAATAAATGTAGCGATTATAACTCCAAACTTGAACATTGACCAAAGCTCAGTTTTATGTTAAATAATGATCGCTGGATACTTGGACAAAATTAAGCAATGGAGCCAAGTAATCTGGCCTCTATTGCTAATGAGAGTCTAAAAAAGTATGATTCAAAGGAAATGATCTGTAAAAAATTAATGGCATTACAAGATTCTCTCTGAAGATATATCTCCTGCAGTATATTCTGCATGAGATGATCACCACTAAGTGGCCAGGCAGTCTGCTAGTCAATGTAATATTACTGTAATATTAATACAAAACTGAGGAAAAAAACAGAGAAATAGAGAGATAAAGCATATTAAATCAATGAATTCAATATAAAGCACAATCTATTAAAGAGAAATTGAATTGAATGGAAATCAAAGTCAATTTTGAGAAATTCATAGGATGACCAAAAAAGTAAATCAATGCTCAACACGCACAAACATGCACAAATAGTATGCAATGAGAAATGTAAAGAGAGTTGAATACATTCGTCATCGTCGTCCCCCCCCCC